CATTTCAGAGCAATTGAAAAGAATCCACACCTAAAAAGACTCTGTGTCTCAGAGACATAACAGTTTGAAAATGTCATTTTAACAGTCAGTTTATAATATTCTAATAGTCAAAAGGCTTCTTTAAAAATATTTATTTATTTTTTAAAAGAGAGGAGAAAGGACTGGGAAAGAAAGAGAAAGAGAAACATCGGTCAACTGCAATAAGCACACCCCTAAACCCCTGAATGTGCCCTGGCCGGGAATCACACCAGTGACCTTACAGTTTACAGGTTGACACCCAACCCACTAAGTCACACCAGTTAGGGCTAATAGTCAAAAGTTTTTGACTTTCATTAAACAAAACTTCCAGAGAGAAGAGGGATACAAAGATTTAGAAGTCATGTAACAAAGGAAAATGCACACAAAGCCTTAAAATTAGCTGGTGTATACACACATGTATGTACACTTTGTATGTGCACATGTAAAATCCTATCTTCCAGGGAAACAAGCAGGTGAAGAGATTGCCGCTGTTGATGTAAAGAAGTAATTGGGCGCAATTTTCTACATTTTCCCTCTTTTATCTTTCAAAGCTATGAAATTCATTTCTCTTCAGCTTAGCTGCCTTCACTTAGACTCTAACAGATTCATTTAGTGGCAAACACTGAGTTATAGACACAGGTAGCTACTTGGTACAAAAAGATCTAATTCACAAAGGGCACCCTGTCCTGTTAAATCAAAAAGGGTATGCGGCTCGAGAAGTTTCTTTAGTCTTATCTTCAAAGTTAATTGGAATCTAACAGCTCTGTGCATAAAATAAGCCATACCACAGCCAACAGAAAATACAACAACTAGCCCCTACTTTATCTTCATATCAGAGATAAGCAAACACCTGGAAAATATCTCAAACTCATGGGTAGAATTGAGTTTCACACTAATACCAGACAGGTAGCCAAATTAGATGAGTTAGACATACACATAAAAATCCTGAGAACCAAATCTGACAAACATAAAAATTAATGCCACCTATTGAAAGCATTTGGTGTGTCCTGTTCTGAGGCAGGACTTCACAAAATCTTCGTAGCAATCCCCTCTTAAAGGGTGGCACAGAATTCTAATTCTCCTCTATACACCAAATGAAGAAACCAGGTTCTAGACATTTTAAATAATTAATCCAACATCAAATAAGCAGAAAATAACATATCATGCCCCAGAACCTGCATCTGTGTGATTCCAAGCCCACAACCCTTCTCCCTCTATTTTGAAGCTTTCTATTATGGTCCATCAACATGTCAACTGTTACACCTAAAGAGACTGAGCTTCTGACAAAACTCCCTACTTTCCCAATTTAAAAAAATGTTCTCACTCTATTAATAGATGTTAAAACATTGTTAGGAGACAAACTAACGGATGTAAGCCTGCCTCTGTCTGAAAGGCAGAGAAGAAAAGAGGATAGGGAACCAGGTGTAATTTACTGGGCTCACCCATCAAATTAGGGAAAAATGATAGGAAAATAGACCATAAAGGAAAATAAAATAATATTTGGTGACCCCCACCCTATTATTCATGTATTCTGACTTCTAAAGGCAAATAATAAAATGGCATACAAAAAGGCATTTGTGGGTTCAGTAGCTGCGAGCTCTGCAAGATCACCCTTTCTTAAATGCAAACTATGCATTTGCAAGCTGCCCTTTCAGAACACTTAAGTGCTTTGGATCAAGTAAGCACTAGAAACGGTAAAAAGTTGAAATGAAAAACTAAGCTCTTTCCTTTATGTGCCAGTTATTGATTGCTTGCCTTTCAGCTCAAAATTCGCCTTGTTTGCCTGTACAGTAAAAATGAATCTGGGCTCTTGAAATGTTTTTCCATTTCAGCTAGAACAGTGTTAAGCTTTGCCACTAGAGGGCACTGTAGAGATATAGCAGGAGGAAAAGATTTTGCTTCCAGGTGTCTATGAGCTTGCATAGCAGAGCTCCTCCTGCAGTACAGGTAGCTTCTATAGAATTTGGTTTTTCCAGTGTCCAGCTGCCCTACTGCAAAGCTTCTTCAGTGCCAGACTTCAGTTGTAATGTACTGCAGCCAGCCGTACCCAGTGGCCAACAGCTTTCCCTGGTACCCTCTCTCAGGCAGTTTGCAGCAGAGTGCCCTCTCTAAGAAGTCTCCAGCATCCTAGAGAGCAGAATTATGGCAAGTACCAGAGGGTGGATTTCTAGTAAGTTCCACTGACACAGCACCACAGCTACTTCCTACCCTTCAGGAAGCCACATTATGCCCTATCCAGAAACATCTAAATCTCAGCTACCCACCCACTGGAAGCAGGAGAGGGACGAGGGGAGTCTCTTACGTAAAACTAGCTACCATGGAAAAAAAAAAAGAGGCACAAGGTTTAGTAGGCCTTTGTTGCGTTTTGGAGGTCTGCCCAGAAGGTATCCAGCCATGTCATATGAAAAAAAAGAGACATTTACTGAAGATGATACGGGAAACATACACAGAACAATGACACCTCAGTCCACTTCAAAGTAGGCACCCAGGGACCTCACATAATTCACCCAATTGCCATCAGGTGCACCGTTGTGTTTTCCTGAATCTCATCGATGGTCTGAAATCTCTTCCCTTTCAAAGCTGATTTTAGTTTTGGGAAAAGCCACAAATCTCAAAGTGGAAAATCTGGGCTTGGTTGGGGGGGGGAGACCGAGTCACCTGGGTGATTTGGTGTTTTGCCAAAAAACTCTACACTAGATGTGATGCATTAGCAAGCGCACTGTCATGATGAAGTTGACAATCACCTGTTGCCCATAGCTGCGGTCTCCTGAATCATCTGAATAGGTTCCACAGTGGAACGTTCAAGCTTTAAGCAAAATTTGATGCAGATTTTGTGGTTCTACTCGCTTAGTCATTTTGAATGCGACAGCCACACAGTACACATGCTCACTCAGTAGCTTCTACCACCCCACTGATTGGTACAGTGACATCATCGTTCAGGCATGTGCATTCCACTCTCCTTGGCTGCCAGGACACTCTCCAATGTCATACAACCTGTTCTGACTATATTAACAACGGTTGCACTTTTTCCAAACAGACCTCATACACTACATTTAAGTCTGTTACACCTCAACCTACCCACAGAATCACCTGGGGGATTTCCAACTTTAAGTGAGGAACTGAACAAAAGAAGGTTATGAAACAAGTTTGGGTTGCAATGCAAGCTTCTCTATCACATGGGACCTATGATTTAGCAAATCCAAGGTTATCTGAGGTCTGTGCCAAACAGATGCTGTAAAGAGCCTCTAGTTACTATGCACTGCAGCAGCTCTTAACTAAAGGACGCTGGTGCAGCTCTGGCCAGGTGGTTCAGCTGGTTGGAACATCATTCCAAACACCAAAACATTGCAGTTTGACCCTCGGTCAGGTAATGTATGGGAGGAAACCAATCAATGTTTCTCTTTCTCTCTTTCTCTCCCCGCCTCGTTCTCTCTCTAAAAATCTATAAACATGTCCTTAGGTGAGGATTTAAAAAAAAAAATAAAAGAGAAAAAGACTCTAGTGCTAAAGAAGCCAGCTTTCTCCAGCATTCTATGGGGTGAATTTCCAGCAAGTTCCACAGGATTTCTAGCATGTTTCACTGGTATGATACTACAGTGACTTCTCTACCGCCATCAGGTGAACCACAGTTGTGTACTGTCCAGTATCAGTAGGCTCTTCCATAGTTATTCTTTCTCAGCCCCATGAGAGGCAATTCCTTATATTTTTATATTCTTTAAAGTTGTCTTTTGTATTAGCCAATCCCTCATTACTCCAGTTCCCTGTTATACTTAATACTCCTTTATAATAAATTTTCCCTATTCTAAATACTACATAGTTTTTCTCTCTTGATCAGAGTTACACCAATATACTTTGTCAATACCTTGCATGGTTCAATGCTATGAAAACCAACTCAGAACCTCACTTTAAAGAATTAAGAATTCAATCTTAACTTATTTTACTTTTAAAATTCAATAATAAATAGGAATGATTTATAGTGAGTTTAAGCATAGTACTAAGTCTGAATTAATTTACATATTTCTTAATAAAACTGTTTCAGTAATGGTTTGGCAAGCTATACATTCCATCTCCAAACATTCTTTAGTCTAAACTAGCATTAATCAGTACCTAACTTATAATCACCAGTTTTCAGCATTATTTTTATTAATTCCTAATATCAAGTTTTAAAAGGCCTAAAATATGGAAGCCAAAATTAAAGATAATGTTATAAAAATAATTTTTGTTATTTTTCAGGAGCAGTTCTTAATATAAATATTGACAATCTCAAACAACATGGGTCAAGGTTATAACAGACTTGACTTTCTACACATTCCAGTAAGAGACTTTATCACTCTGGCCAGCTCTTAACCACAAGCAAGCCCAAATAAACATGTGATGGTGGATTGGTGCGAGCACAGCAATATCTCAGGAAATGGCTTAAAAAGCAGAAGACCCATTGTGTTATCTTCTTAAAACAGTGTTTTAATGTCTGCCATGCCTATTAACTGGAAATACACTAAGGAATTCATTATTCTTTTACAGTTCAACAAAATTTTAAGCCTAACAAATTCCAATAATCTATTTAAAAAATCAAAAAACAGAACAAAAAAGTCCACTAAAATTATTCCAGAGGGAAAGACATCCACACTTTCTACAGAAGTAGAAAACCACCACCAACACTGTACCAAAAAGGGAGGAGAGACTACAGAGTAATACATTGAAAAGCAAACAAGTGCTTTGTGGTTTTTAATAAACTTAAGAATCACATTCTAATTTCTAAAACAAAACAAAAAAACTTTAATATTACTGACAATTTATTTTGAGTAACTCTATACATGAAACGTATAAAATTGTTAGTAGCCACCATTATACGGTGTGTCTAAAAAATTACAAAATAGAAATTACTCTTCAAGTAATGTAAGTTATTGCTTAAAATGTTGCTTTCGAAAAACAGAAACGCTGCTTCTACATGGAAATTTCTTTTTAAATACAGTTTTTCTTACTTGAGAGAGTCCAGGGGACGATGCATGTCCCGGGGGCGTTGCTGCAAGATTTGGATGCCCCTTGTTTATTTCATGTGCCGCATAAGGGGAAGGGGTCGGGGGTCCCGGCTGTCTTGCTACCTGTGAGAAAATCAGTATTTAGGAAGAGTATTATAAGAGTAACTTTGATTAATAAATAAAGCTAAACTGGCAAGCTTTTTAAAACTGAAGTCTCTGTCTCACCATTTATACTAATGTGCCAAACTGACCAAAGGCTTCGATTTTCAGTACTAAAGCACTGAAATTCTTAGACAAATAATAAACATGAATATTTTCATCAACTCCATAAAATTCTTGAAGCGTAATCTAACATCAAAACCCCTGAAGGAAAAAATATGCTAAATGAAAGAAGCCAGACTTAAAACTGCATTTATATTACATTTTGTAAAAGGAACAGAAAAGAGATAAATGATTGCAAGGAGATAAGGATAACTACAAAAAGACATGGAGATTTTGGGGAGTGACATAACTTCTGTATCTTGATTATAGTGGGGATTACATGTCTCTATGTGTTTGTCAAAACTCAGAACTGTACACTAAAAAAAGTGAACTCTATATAAATTACATTTCAGTAAAAATGAATCCAAAAAATGGCAAGTTACTTATAGAGTATAATCTCATTTTTGTTTTTAAAAAGGTACATATGTATATATTTCTATCTGTATAACTGTCTACATATGTGTGCACATATGTACACATATATACACATTCTCACAAGTATATGTGTCATATTAAAAAGATCTGTAAGGAGATACACAAAGATCTTAAGAGAGAGCATTAGAGGTGTTTCTTTTTTCCTCATTTTTCTTTTCTAATATAGTTCAATAGCCATGAACTTGTACAACAGAAAAATAACTAGCATTTTATGTAAACAAAATTACATTTTGCGGGCAATAAAGTGCACATCAGCCTGAGAATGATATGAGACCACTTACTTCACTCAGGCCCCTTTCTAGATAGAGCAATAACTCCTAGCCAGCTCCTCTCTACCATAGTTTAACCCAGACTAGCACCACCCTCCGTGAATGGAGGGCAATTCTGCAATCACCTGATATTAAAGAATCCATTCTCCACAGGGTGGGGTTCTTTAATGTCTGTGGGCCATAAAGCTAGTGATAACTGCAGACTTCTTCCCAGAATCATATTTTTAATGCCTAAAATACATAGAGCTAAGACAAAAACCAACTACTGATAGTTACCTACATTCATTATTCAAAGAAATGGTAACATTCAATGAGATATTCTCTCCATCTAAGTTTTCAGATTCCCCTCCATCTTAGTCTATCAAAGTTAAATACTCTGCCTTGGTACAAAAAAAAGTAGTCTCCAAGTGGCTTTAGATTTCCCTGAATTGACTCAGAAGCTGAAGAAAATCTACTCCTTGATATTGCTTATGTCAATCTAAAATAGACAAACACCTACAGGCTCAGCTGCCTGACCCCAATGCTGAAATAAAATGGACTCACAAAATGGAGTCAAAAACTTTATAAGCTAAAAGAGACATGAACGATGCTAAAATGTAACCAAATTAAATTTCTTCCTTCCCTTTTTTTTAAGATTTATTAATTTTTAGAGAGAGGGGAAGGGAGGGAGAAAGAGAGGGAGAGAAACACCGATGTGTGAGAGATACATCAACTGGTTGCCTCTCCCATACCCCCAACTGGGGACCTGGCCCACGACCCAGTCATGTGCCCTGACGGGGAATCGAACCAGCAACCTTTTGGTTCTCAGGCTGAGCCACACGAGCCAGGGCTCTTCCTTGCTTTTTAAATAACTCTATAATCTTCTCAAAAAACTCTGTTTCCAATTTTGAGTAAAAGATATGTTTATAGGGGCAGGAAGTTTACCATCATATGTTATAGCATTTATAAACCTCATCAGAAATTTTTCTAAGGGTAAAAACTGGATTGCTATTTAAACATTTACTTTAGAAAACTAATAACCAAGCTCATATGGCTAAGTGGATTGAGTGCCAGCCTGCAAACCAAAGGGTCGCCAGTTCGATTCCCAGTCAGGGTACAAGCCTGGGTTGCAAACCAGGTCCCCAGTTGGGAGTGAGAGGCAACCAGCTGATGTATCTCTCACACATTGGTGTTTCTCTCCCTCTCTTTAAAAAAAGAAATAGAAAAAGAAGAAAACTAATAACCAGAAATAGAGCTCTTTCAAGCCAACATCTCACCAACAAAGATTTATAAACCTATATTCTTATTTCACAGGTTTTAAAATAATTTTCATATTCTACTAAACATCAAAATGGATACATATCTTTAATATTAGAAAAAAATTTGCAATATGAAGTGAGGGCCATGAAATTGTAACTATATAAAATCCATGTTAGGTCAATTCTCTAAATCATCCTGTTAAAACAAGGTTAATTTACTTAGGACAATAAATCACAGTATTGAAAAACATAAAAAAGAGAGCTATTGATTAAGAATAAATAGATATTAAACTACATTGCTACACGCAGGTCATTAATAACAAATGTAAATTCACCCCACTATTTGCAGGGATCTAAACAAACAGGATATAGGATACTGTGAACTGTGAATGGGTTTACCATGTCCCCAGTACTATAAAGTGCATCGCAAATGCCTTAAAACCATGCCTTAAAAATGATTCCATTTTGGAATACACATCCTAAAAAAAAAATCTTACCTCAAAAATTAGGAACTTAAATATACAGCAGCACTACACATGATAGCAAGAAAGGAATAAATAAATAGGAAAATAAAGTAACACAATTGCACTAAAGATTAAAATATATAGATGTGGAACACTAGCAATATTAAATGAATATGTAAAATAATCACGAATAAAAACATAGAATACCACACTCTTCAGAACTGCAGAGATTTTATACTTTGGCGAAGACTAGAGATTAGTATTCATCTGGTTCGTTTTTCTCTGAAAACTGCTTAAGCGCACTTTTTAAAACTAGTATTATATCACCCCATAAAAAACAAATGTTTCAGAGAAACAGAAAAGGCATTTAGCCAAAGCCAAAAGTATTGTGCTATTGCTACATTGAAAATTTCCTTAAAGCCCTGACAGGTGTGACTCAAGTTGATTGGATGTCATTCCACATAATGAAAGGTCCCCAGTTCGATTCCAAGTCAGTGCACATGCCTGGGTTGTGGGTTGGGTCCTCAGTCAGGGCGCATATGAGAGGCAAATGATCAATGTTTCTCTCTAGCATCAGTATTTCTCTCCCTCTTTGTCTCCCTCCTTTCCCCTCTAACAATAAATAAAATCTTTTTTTAAAAATTTCCTTAAAGCTAGCATCAATGACAAACAACATCCATAGGCAAACCAAGCTAGAGGTGTGCATCCAACACTGTTCCTGATGGCTACGTAAAATTTGCAGGAATTCTTTGGTATTGTACATTCTGCTAGGGCACACCCAACCAATTGTGGGATTCCTAATAAAAGCAAGACAAAGAAAATTAATCTGTATCAAAATAAGATAACTACAATCATGCTATTCTAAAGACAAATTATTCCTAGAAACAAGCTGCTCCATACAGTAAATCTCTGACTATCATTGCACACTATTTAATTCAAAAAGTCCCTATTACAAGTGCCACACAGCATTACAGAATGTACTTTTTTTTAAATTATAGAGTGTAATCTTTGCTGGGGAAAAAGGTATACCATCTTCAATTAGAAGTATACAAAAGGCAAGCAGTTAACATACCTTATCCCAAGGAAATGGTACAAGGGCTAATAAAGTTGTTGGAGATAAAAATCAAAGTCACAAAACTTTAAATACTTCTTTCAAATACTCCTAAATTAATGATTACTGAATCTTCTAATCTCTGACTAAAGTTTCTTCTCTCTGGCTATTTTATTTAAGATCACACTGTTATAATACATGTCCTTCAAAGGCAGTGATAAGTAGTCCTATAAAGGAAAAAAAACATCACTGGCTGGTATGGCTCAGTGGACTGAGCGCTGGCCTGTAGACCAAAAGGTCACCAGTTCAGTTCCCGGTCAGGACACAAGCCTGGGTTGTGGGCCAGGTCCCTGTCTGGGGGTGTGTAAGACACAACCAATTGATGTATCGCTCATGCACTGATGTTTCTCTCCCTCCCTTCATCCCTCCCTTCCTTTCTCTCTAAAATAAATAAAATCTTAGAAAAACAAAAAATATTTCCCTATTATTTCAAAGATATTATTACCAGCTCAACTACAAAGGCATGTAGCAGAGGTATGAAATTATCTAATTATGGCAACTATTTAACCATCTCCAAAGTTAAAATGATTTTTGTCTTTTATATAACATTAATCCTACGCAAAATTAATCAACCATTCTTGGTGTACAGTGTGTGTGTGCATATATGCGCATGTATGTGTTTAAGTGTAAGAAATGCATAATAAATTTTTCGTTTTCTATAGATTTCTATAGATGTGCGCTGCAACAATGTGGTGCTTCCAGAACTCTCGTTCATTTGCTGGTGCAAATGTAAATTGACACAACCACTCTAGGAGAGGATTTGGCATTAGCTAGTAACCTCAGGAACAGGGGTACCCTATGTCCCAGCTGTTCCACATCTAGTATTTATCTGTGAAAACACAAAAATGTTCATAGTTGTCTTGTTCTTAGTAACCACAAATTGGAAATGACACTGTTCATTAATAGAAAAATGATTAATAGTATTTTCTTACACAAGAAACTACTCAAAAAAAAAAATCAAATGAAAAACTAGAAAAACATACCACAACCTGGATGACTCTTATAAACAATACTGACAAAGATAACATAGAAGAATACACACAGTATGATTGCAAAGATCCAAAACAGGCAAAACTTGACTCTATTAGTTCAGAAATGCATACATGCACCAATGACACATTCAAGAAGGGGTTAATATCCAAAATACATAAAGAATTCATATAACATAAACACCAATAAAAAACCCAAATAATCTGATTTTAAATGGACAGAGGACACACAGATGGACATCAGACATATGAAAAGATTCTTAACATCACTAATCATCAGGGAAATGCAAATTAAAACCACAAGGAGATACCACCTCATACCTGTGAGAATGACTATCATCAATAAAATCACCAAA